GGAGGACGGGCGGGCCTGGGAGCGGCGGCGAGGAGCGGCACCCCGGCTCGGCCGCCATTGTTGCCCGCGGACGAGCGAGGCTCCGGGCCGGCGCCGCGACTGGGCGGGCGGGCCGCCGTGCACGGAAGGACGGTGGCGTGATGGCGGCCAGGCCGCGGAAGCCTGGGGCCGGGAGGCCCACTACCTTGCGCCCTGCCTTCCGCGGACCCTCGCCTGCCGCTGAGGGCTCGGTGGGACCGCGTGCAGCGGGGACCCACCGGACGCGCGCCGTGAGGGTCTCGGGAGCGCCGGGCACCTGCTGGCGCCCCCGTCTGAGCCCAGAACGGGTGGGCGAGGCCTACCGGCGAGACGCCGCTACCGGATGGGTGACACCCCGCGGAAAGCGAGGTCGAGGGGGCAGGTGTGCACACGGGGGCGCCCCTCGCCGGGGTGGTCCCGGGAGGGCGGGCCGAGCTCGTGCGCCGCCCGCGCGCCGCGGGGTCTTTCTGCTGCAGACAAACGCGGGTGCCCCTCGGCCGCGCGTGGGGACGCGTGCTCCGCTCGGCGCTGGTGGGAAACCAGAACCGCCTCCAGGTGCGCGGGGCCGGGGCGCTGGGGGGCTCCCTGACGGGCGGGTCCTGGGAACGGAGTCTGCGCGCACAGCCTCGGTTACCCTGCAGCTGTCGCCGCCCCGGGCCCTCCCTCCACTTTGAAGTCGAGAAACGGAGGCCCCCGGAGGGAACGGAACAGGCTGCAGGTGAAGCCAGGTAATCTGACTGCAGATGCCCTCCCCAGACAGGTCGGCCTCGTGAATTACTAGGAAAGTGAACCACGCGCGAGATAAAGTTCCCAGCGGCACATGGAGGTCGTTTTCTGTGCTTTTTTTACTTGGAGGGAAGCAGGTAAATGAACACGTCCATAGAAATATTACAGTTTGAGTGCTCTCTTTCTGGGCTGTTTGGGTTTTTGTTTCTGTCTTTTTAACCAAAAGGTGGTGTTCTTGGACGTTGCCGATGGTTCCCGTTTTGGTAAAACCCCGGGAACCGTTTCCACAGAGACCTCACTCGCTGCCAACGTGTGATCACAGGCCCTGTCTCTGTTGCTGACCAGACAGTCTCCACGCTAAGCCCCAACCTCTGCACAAAGAAGCTGTTGACGGTAAGTGACTTCTTCTAACTGCTTTCCACAGGACACTGCTCGACTCCCAAGAACAGTCTGATGGTCCGTGTGTGCAGCGTGTCCCCGTTGCACCCCTTCAGAGTGGACACGTGACTTTCCCCCGCCCTCCGCTTTTTCTCTTAAAAGCAGCAGATGACCATAGCACAGGTTGGAACTGGGGACAGGTGTCTTTGGGGGACGCGGGGAAAAGACGGGGCATGTTTTGGGGAAATCCTATATACGCGCACAATGGGACTTTAAAAGTAATTTTAGTCCCCTGAAGGCAAGGCTGCAGAAGTAACCTGAAACTTTAAACTCAAGTTAAAAACCTTAATCTTCTCTTGTGATTTCTTCCGGTGTTCTTAGGCTCCGCTGTAGAAGAGTCAGGGAGCTCTGGTGGCGCAGTGGCTAAGGCCCTTGACTGCTAACCAGAAGGCTGGCGGTTCAAACCCACCAGCTGCTCCACAGAAGGAAGACGGGGCAATCTGCTTCCATCGAATTTACCGCCTTGGATACCCAGAGGGGTCGCTGTGAGTCGGGATTGATTCAGTGGCGTGGAGTTTGGTTTTGGTTCTGTGGAAGGGCCAGGCAGGGAAGTGGAGGAATCAAACAAGCTGGGTTTGAGGAGGCCCCGGGGTGCAGCAGGGACGGTCCTGTCCTTATGCGCAAAGGGACTCAAAGAATCTCTCAGCCTGGGCAGATAGTCTGAATCTTCAAATGATAGAAGAAATGTGGACTCGTGTAAGACCTTCATTTCTCAGTGTTAACAACCAAAGAATTTTGAAATCAACCTAATAAACCCATCAGCTGGCCAAGGTTAGCCCCATGTACCACCATTCAAACACTTAGACTCGGGAACAGAGGAACACGGTAACCAGACCACAGGTGGGACTCAGGACACCCCATCACCAAGGCCCATGGGAGGGGGGTTCCACAGCTGCACAGCCACTGGGTGCACGAGTGAGGACCCATGCACGGCCACCACGGGTGCACGAGTGGGGACCCAGCTAAAGGAGCGTCAGGCAGGTGAGGGAATGGGAGGAGCTCTAGGCACAGCGGGCCCTGGCCCTGCCCGTCAGGTCCCTCCAGCAGACTGGGCTCAGTGCGAACCGGCCTCCAGCTCTGCACCCTGCCAGCCCACTGCCCTCAGGGCCCCCGGGACCTTATAGTCAAGGCCTCCTGCAGCATTGGGGCATTTCCCGACATCCCCCCGGGTCTGCTGCAGCAGCCTCAGATCCATGGAGCAATCGCAGGAAGTGCACTAGGGTCATGGCTCTGCCCACCCAGCCCGCCTCCCTGCCAGGAGGGTCGTTTCACAGCCCCAGGACAGCATGCTTTGAGAGGTGGCCTCCGCTTCACCTGAGAGCATCGTCCTCCCGGCTCTCCCCCAACGGGGTGGACACTCAACCAAGCTGTCCACCCTGGGGACTTGGGCCAGGTGCTTCTCACTGTGCCTGTCTGGCTTGTGACCACCATCTCAGCCTCTGGTGTCTGAAGGAAGACACATCCAGTGTGCACAGAGGGGAAAGATGGAGCACAGGGTTGGAACACAAGCCAGGTTCACTGCCCGTGAGCACACAAAACCCAGCTGCCCTGCCTCGCTGCTGGCACACGTGGTGGGCCGTGGGCACAAGTGCTGCTTCCCAGGCCAGCAGGTTGCCGGGGCTGTCGACTTATCAAGCAGTGATGCAGGGAGCACATGGCCGGCTGAAACACAGGCCTAAACATCGTCCAGAGGCCGAGCCTTGTTGATGCTCTGGCCATGGGGCAGATACCCACCACAGTGCTTGTTACCTCCCACGTGTGTCCCTTGTATGCCTGCAATGCTGTACAATAAAAGCTAGTTTTCTAAAACAGTGTGTGGCTTGGGGGCCGTTCGCCTGGAGGACTTCGCCACCCTGCCAACAGCTTTCCTCAGCCCTGCCCTCAGACCGGGATGCGTATGCTCATGAAAGGATCTGCCTCCTAGGACAGACTCACAGACACATTTCATCAGTGATCTGCTATTGCAGATGACCAGGCCGCCTGCTCGCAGGGAGAAGAGCCCTCTGATTGGAGGGCACTTGCCCTGACAGCCCCTCCGCCCCAGGACAGGCCACCACGGATGACCAGACCTGATGCATTGAGCGCTCACTGTGTGCCAGCTTAGCCTGCATTACAGATGGCAGGACCAGAGCTTGGGAAGATTAAGTAAATGGCTAAGATATTCCCAGTGGGCAGAGTTGGCATTGAAGGACCCGGGACTTGGCTCAGAAGTACTGCTCAGACTGCCCCGGCTGACCAGCGCCACCAATCACAAGTCCGCTTTCTAAATCACAACCGCAGTCAGGCCCCCTTCTGCTCTGAAGTTGACCCAGGTCTCCTTGCGGGCGTCTGCACCCTTGAGTGACTCATTTACACCAGGCCTGTGGCTCCTTCCGGAAGTGGCTCCCTCCGGCCACCACACATGGCCTTCACTGGTTTAACTGGGCAGCTGCCCTCCCCGGCCTCACTCCAGTGAGCCCATCGTCCCATGGTACCGCCTGCATTATCCCAAAGTGCAGTCAAGCTGTGGCAGGAGAACCCCGCCAGCACCACTACTGCCCCCTCCCGCCAAAGGGCACGCAGCCAGGCTGCTGCTAAGCACAGTGCCCATCAGGTGGGTCACTAGAACTCCGGGTTACTTTGGTTCATCTGTAAGTGACTTGTCCTTCATTCTGCTCAGGTGACCAGTTTATAATGCCCGTTGGCTTCGTTACAGGTGGCTTGGAAGGTACGCCAAACCTTAGGTTTGTCGTTGGTAAAGTTGTTTAGTATCAGTTGTTCAGATGGAATATATAAATGTAATAACTCGGCGTTGACCTGTAAATGTCAATTTGAATGTGAAAAATGAAACGTTTAAAACAAGACCATCGAAAAACAAAAGCGTGAAAAAAAAAAGTAACTTGATACGAAACTAACAACATCCACAGGCAGAAAAGTGCAAAGCCTTATTGAAAACTACTGGCAAACACAGGAATACAAGGAAGCCTGTACCAAGTTCAAAGTAAGAACGCTCAATATTGTAGAAATTCCAATTCTTCCCCCAAAAGGATCTGAGGATCCAGCGCACAATGGACTTTAACATCCCGGCAGTTTTTTCCCCACAGAGATTGATGGGCAGGGCTTCCACCTCCACAGAGTCGAGGCAGCTCCCAGGGCAGTGGCCCTCCCACAGACGGTACCATAAACTCTAAACAAAATACAAACCAGCCCCCTACAGGCAGCACCAGAGAGTGAACACAGGCAGACAGCCTCCGGAGGGGAGTCCACGCTCGTAAGGAGGGGACCACACGTGGGGAGTTGCCTCTTTTCACAGCATCTAGCCTAACGGCAGGCCATAGTCCATGCCATGCAGAGAGGATAAAATTCTAATGAAACACGGTGTTTCTGGTATGAAGAACTAGAAGATAGATTGGGGCATTGATAACCTCTGGGAAATGAAGGGGCATCCCATAAAGGAGAGGGCTAGGGAGGGGGAGCCCCACATTACATTCATACAACAGACCTAACTCTGGTTGACCACTGAATCACGTGTGTGGAGCAGTCTCTAACCATCTTAGCTAAGAATAACCTAAAACTAAGCCCACTATCATTCAGTCAATTTCAAGTGACCCTACAGAACAGAACTGCCCCATAGGGTGTCTCATGTTATAAATCTTTATGGAAGCAGACTGACACACCTTTTTCCCACAAAGCAGCTAGTGAGTTGAAACTCCCAACCTATTGGTTAGCTGCTGAATGCTCTAACCACTGCACAATCAGGGCTCCTTAGCTAAGAATAAGATAATCAAAATGAGATTGAAGCAGTTTGAGTCCAACCAAGTTAATTGTGTGCTAAGACAAAAAACAAGATACCAACAGTCTTCAAATTCATATAAACCCACTGTCATCAAGTCGATTCCAACTCGTAGAGTCTGCCCCCCTCCCATCGGTTTCCAAGGTGGTAAATCTTTACAGAAATAAATTGCCCCATCTTCCTTCCACAGAGCAGCTGGTGGATTTGAACCACCAATCTTCTAATTAGCAGTCAAATGCCTTAGGCACTGTGCCACCAGAGCTCCTTTCATATTAACATAAAAGAATCCAAATCCCACTGCTGTTAAGCGGATTCCAGTTCATAGCAGCAATCTATGACAGAGGAGAACTGCCCCATAGGGTTTCCAAGGCTGTAGACATTGAGGTAAGTAGACTGCCTCATCTTTCTCCCTTGGAAAGACTGGTGGGTTTGAACCACTGATGTTTTGGCTAGCAGTTAAATGTTTCGACCACTGCACCACTAGACCTCCCTTAGAGACTCCAAAGTCTCCACAAAATAACATTCATGATGCCAGGATACAGTCCAAAATTTCTCACCTTACAAAGAAACAGGAAAATGTGGCTCATCCTGAAAAGAAAGCAATGGGGGTTGACCCCAGTATTGACCCAGATGATGGACTAAGGAAGCAAGGGGTTGGCAGCAATTGTTGTAACTCTACTCATTACTGTAAAGAAAAAAAATATATATATGTTTTTAATGAATGAAAAGATAGGAAATTTCTGGAGAACTAGAAGCTATATTTTAATTGGGGATTCTAGTGGGAGGGGAGGGGAGGAAACACTGCAAAAATTAAAAAAAATAAACTAAAACTCCATGGTAGGGTCTGCCATGAACACCTGAGTAGCTGCTGTAGGGATGTGTTCTGCTTCCTGTATATAAGGAGAAGTTTGGGAATGGTCTCTAGCTTACGGCACCTTGAACCCCGTGTGTAGCCATGTCATTGTTGAGCAGCCTGCCATGCTTTCCGACCTTGGGACTTTCAACGGACTTGAGTTAATGGCCTGCCGTGTGGTTTGGTAATGTTGGGACTGTGCCTTTTTACTTGTCAACCTTGGGGCTTATCAGTCTCAGCAGCCAGCAACTGTCTGAGTGAAGAAAAGCCTCTAGCTCCAATGGGCTGGGAGCAGGAGGCAGAGCTGAAGCCCAAGGTTGAGGGGCTTCC